GCTCCCGTTATATCACAGATTTCAGATCACCTATGACAAATGCAGAGTACATTCCAGTAGTGATGCCCATCACACTATTCGAACGAACCCCACTTTGGGCATACGAACATATCCGTTCCGTGTCAATCCGAAGGGTCGTCTCAAGACGGATTTGTTCGAAGATATAGGTGATTTTGAAGAGCTCAAGTATAAGTCTTCAAATTATTATTCGCATCCCACATAATGTGATCCATAAGCGAATACTCATCAATTCTACTGAACTAAAGGTCCATGGTCGTCTACGAAGGTAAAGATCTCAGAATTTATGAAGACCTAAATGCAAAGACTAGGGAACTTCTCGAATCAATATTCGAACCTCACGTACCTCCGGTTTGATCCCTGAAGTGTAGCTGAAGTGAAACCTAAGCAACATGCCGTGTACCGGGACGACTGACTACGAAAAACGTAATGGGTAAGAAAACTAGCAAAAATTTTTCGCGCAGAGTATATACCCTCACATGCGCCTTGTGAGTACCACTTTGGCTTTGGGAACTGATTTCAGTCCGACCAAAAAATCTTCAATCCAACAAAAAGAATGCGAAAATCGCTTTAGAATCTCTTGGTGTCTACGTTGATCACAGTTCTGCTGCAGCAATCTACGGCGACCTTATTAAATGTAGACCTAAATTTTCAGTATAACGACAGATTTATTTCTTGATCCCATAGCGACATTTGCGAATTGGTACTTCGAGGGAATCGGAACAGATAGACCTTAACCAGGGGACCACTAGAGTCTTCTATTACAGTTCAACCACCACAAGTTTTCTTTTTCGTTTTCACTACGTAGCCTCCTACTCTGTAGCTTTTTCAGATCCAAAAGAATTGAAAAATATGTCTTTTGTGACGTTGATGAGCTTCTTCGTTCGAAGATTTCGTACCACCTCGATTATCATCAGAACAAGGAATGCCAATGAATTTCTCCCAATCTTTTTCGAAGATGGTATCTTTCCTGAATCCAACATGAAAGTTTGCCAGGTGCGTTTCCTCTATGATTCCATCTTCTGACAGAGTAAGGCATCTGCAACAAGATTTTCAGATCAATATCGCATATCCCAAGCCAAAAACAGCTTCAGAAATAGAAGATTTTCGGATAGCATGGAATGCAATACTTTATGATAAGAAGTAAGTGTTTGGCCTTTTTTGCAGGTTGTCCATTACTCCTCGGCCTTGTTCGATGAGGCAAACTTTACTGCTTCCAGATGTAGTAGTTCCTGGAACCGCTTTTTGAAAAGGCTACAATCATAACTGATCCACTTTTTTCCCTTGCTTCCAACTCTGTAATTGAGGAACTGCCTAGACAAAATCCAATAGTCTTGAGGCGTTAAACAATCCCGTCTGGGGGATGTGCCCACGCATTCCACTTGCACTAATTGTAAGAATCGTCGTGGGGTATTGAATGTGTATGTGGTCTACACAATGACTTGCGGTGGCCACCCAATGCAAGAGTCACGGCTTTTATCCTCCTAAACGAGTCTGGTACCAATTAATCGACCTCAGAGAGATGGAAGACTTGGTTGACCTAGGCAGATACCGATTCGGCATTCGAACCCGTGACTATGCGTGTGTGAAGGATCCATTTGTCGCTACACCACTTCCGTCTAGATAGCTTAAATTTACTCCTTGAAAAAGGTATGAACCTTCAGTCACAACTATTACCTATTCTGTGGGGACTAGGGTGGGGCTTTAGAGCTAAAAAATGCAAAATTTATTTCAACAGAAGTCTTCAGCAGCCAGGGAAGGAAGGGTGGACGATACAGTATGGCACGCGTATCGGATTTTATGAGCTCATACACCACCTTAGGTCCTCCCCCACTTCCGCCTACCTTCCCTCTCTTGATTGGAACATGAAATACGTACGAAGTAGAAGCAAAACCTTGTGTCTACAAGGTTCTGATGGATCACTGCACTTCCCCCGTAAGTCTCTCTGACTCGACTCCATATCACCATAAAGAGGTACTTTTCTTAGCATTCGCCCTCCTCCATACTAGCTGCGCTTCCGTACATTATCGATAAATTCGTCATGAACTGTCTAGAACGAGAAGTAATTTATCTCAAGAGACCTTCGAATAGCCCAACAAATCGACATGAAAATCAAGTGCGCGGCCCATCAGAAATAGATTTTTTATGGTTAATTAGTTTACCTGAGTTTTAAAAATTTGAGAAGGATAATTTGCTCCGGTACCTTTCTCTATGCTAATGACAAAATTGATCTATGCTCAAATTGACAATTTTAGCTACCTACTCACTCATGCCTCTCGGACGAAGGACACTCTGAACATGTTCCTAGTCAACCTCAACGACCTATATTGTTGGCAGAAATATTTGTCGCATATTTTACCTCATTATGTAAATTACTAGGCAAATTGCAAGTTTCAATCGTGTGTTGTCCATATTGGCTTTAATATGTTCCAATCAGTTTCTAATGTGCGAATAAATACTTTGTTGATGATTGGTGTTACGAAGGACCAACAAAATCCACTGCTGAAGAAGGTTATCAATAAGACTGCACCCTGCACTCGACTTCCATTCAGAATTAGTAGCTTTTTAAATGCGTATGTGGCCAGCTGATGTACAAGTCAGTGTTTTTATCCTCCCAGGCGTGTCCGATACCATCGCATGAAACCCGAAGGGATAGAAGTCTAAACTGGCCCTGACGATGATCGACCTGGCATTCAAACGCTTGACCATGTGTGGGTGGTCGTGTGCCGCTTGCCACCACACCACCTCCGCCCAGTATTAGTAGATATAGCAACTAATTGCAAGACCTACACCCGCAGCAATATACATTAGCATTAAGTTCCTTCGATGAAGCAAAAGTGCTCGGAACACAGAAGATTGACAGTATCCTCACCGGATTTCAGGCGGTAGAAAATGCAGAACATTTAAGGCCCACAAGAAGCTGCTCTGTTTTTCATCTGCACCTTGTAATAACTACATCTAGAACGAAGGTTCAGCACAGGTGCTAGGTTCCTAGGACGAACTTGCGACCACTAAAACGCGATGAGAACAAAACTCCACGGACAACAGTACCATTCTAATTGTTAGGCATCACCTTATTTGAATACACACATCCTAACCGCTCATTTATAGGACGCATAGGAGACGCCCGATGATTAGGTGTTTGGTTCCTGGCCGTGAGGCCTGCTGCTGTAAGTCCTTCCCGAACAACAACAAGATGCACTTGGCTGTGGTGCAGCACTACTCGTTACTGGGCCTACTGGGCCGCAGCTGGATTGCTGTAAAAGACGGCCTTCTGTAATGGATTTTCGTTACCCCAAAGCATCTTGCTTGTAGAACGAGAAAATGTCCACTTTCCTCTTACTACTAAAATAGGATGAATATCAAAAGCGCTCTGTTCATTCCATACCTGGCAGTTTCATTAACTCATTCAAGAACTATTTTCCAACAAAGTTGCGGTACTACATAGGGTACGCAATATCAGCGAAGAATATTAGATGCGAATCCATCGGCTTCAGTTTGAGGGATTCTCGGGCAGTCTCGGGTATGAAGCGATCGCCTAGGTTCTGCCCATTTTAGATTTGTGTGGATCTACAGTGCAAGAGAGTGGCTAGTGGTTCGCAGTTTCAACCCTGGATCAATTTCTACACAAAAAACCAAACCGTTTATCCATCTAAGGTCGGTAAGTTGGCACCAGGCTAGTCTAGGAGGAAAAAAGGTGCTAAGGGAGTTGGGGGGGGGGGGGGGGGG